CGTTTTGTTAAATTTTTAACAATTTTCGATCTCGAATCTCGTCGAGATCTCGTCGAGATTAGCGGAAAATAATTTAAAAAATATAGAATTGTTAAAAATTTTAAATTGTGTTAAATTTTTAACAATTTTGTATTTTTTAAACTATTTTCCGCCAATCTCGACGAGATTCGAGATCGAGATTAGATATTGTGATTCTAGAAACTTCGAGATCGAGAAGCATATACCGAAATATTTGCGAGATCGAGATCGAGATTGCAAAAATCTCGTCTCGTCTCGTCTCGTGCACATCTCTACTCATCGCATAACAATATAACAGAGCAATAAAAATGATTTCGGGTCAAATAGACCAGAACAAAACATGAGGGTTAATATAAAAATATCGAATCTTTTACAGTCATCGTCGAACTTTTGGCGCGCTTTGTTTTTGGGGGGTAAAGTCTGTATAAAACAATTTCAGTGCAAAATACCATTGCAAATATAATAGTAAAAATTTCAATAGTGAGTTTAATACATAGGACTGAAGATGCTCTTTTATAATAAAAAGTTTTTTCATTTGTTTAAACAAATTTTTAAACAGATTTTCTAAGAAAAATGACGTAATACTATTGTACGAAAAAATTATATAACTTGAATGTATTATAAAACTTTTTTACTAAATTTGAAATTTTATGTAACTTCATGCGTATTTTATACATGGAGACTGCATGGAACAATCGATATACTTGATACTGTCACCTGTCGACTACCATCACCATTCTTAAAGTATTTTTCCGAGAAATTGAGTTTCTACAGTTTTTTTCTGAAATTTGAATACTATGTTTAAAATAATTTTATCTAGATGTGGCTAAAATTTCAAAGACCTAGCGTGCCGAAATGAAGATATTCACCTTCAAAGTTTCAGCTTTTAACACGTAAACTGCTATACCAAGCCTTGTCGAAGTAACGTTTTAATTCTTTGCGGCGAAAAGACTTCCGGTTCCGTAGCGAGCGTGCTAAGAGGTGTAACTGCCTGCGTATTGTATAAAAGCGGAGAGAAGAGTGAGAGAACAGTGAGTGGAGAGAACAATGAGTGTGTGCGAAAGGGAGAGAGAGATAAAGGTGAGAGAGGTATGGGAGTAGAGGGAATCAAGGGAATAAGGGAATAGGGCGGGATCAAGAGATATAGGCAGAGAAAAGGAAAGAGGTTAAACGGGAGGGGGGAGAGAGGGAGAAGGTGCCGGCTTGGCGTGGTGCTGTGAGTCGGCTAGGAAATTTGGAGGAACGGTTAGGGAAAAGAAGAGTGAACTGGAGTAGAGTGATAGAAAAAAAAGAACGAGGAGTAGGAAAATATAGATGGCAAACAGGGTAGAGAAACTGTCGCAGAAGAGAGTGAGAAATGGAATCGTAGAGTTAGGAGAGATAGAAAAGTTAAAAAGAAAAAAAACCGTGTTAAAAAGGGGACTGAAAAAGAAAAGGAAATTTTTAAAAAGAGTAATAAGATGATAAGATCGCCGGTGAAGGAGGATGATAGGAGGAAGGAGGGAAACGTAGGGGGAGGGGGTAAAAGAGAGTATAGGGAAATGGTTAAGAGAGCTAAGAGAGGAAATGAGAGAAGGATTAAAGGGAGAAAAGAGAGAGGAAGAAATAAGGGAAGTATTAAGAGAGCAGAATGAAGCGCCAAGGAAAGAAATGTAAAAAGCGAGGAAAAAACTGAGAGAGAGAGAGAGAGAGAGAGAGAGAGAGAGAGAGAGAGAGAGAGAGATGGGAAAAGGAAAAAAAGAAAATTAACAAAAGGATGAAGGAGACGGACAGTGAGTTGAAGAGTATGAAAAAGCAGGAGAAAGAGGGGGAGGAAAAAGGAAAAGATATAGGAGAGGGGAGGGAAGAGAGGAGGTATATAAGAGAGAGGAGAGGGATAGGGAACTTAGAGACAAGGATAGAAAATGAAGAGGGGTTGGGAACTGAGGGAAAGGGAAGAAGGAATATAGTGGTAAAAGGGATAAGAGAGAAGAGGGGGGGGGCAAGCAAGGGGGCAGAGAAGGTATTAAAGAAAATAGGGGTGGAAGTTAGAATAGAGAGTGTGAGAAAGATTAGTGACAGGGAGGAGAGATTGGGGAGAGATGGCGGTGGTAAAGTTAGAAAACGAAGAGGAAAAGAGGAAGGTGATGGAAAATAAAAGAAAATTGAAGGGAGGTACAATCAGCGGGAAGTGTAAGGAAAGAGGAAGGAGAAGCGAAGGGTATAGAAGGGAAGAATAGTAGGGCGGAGGGGGTAGAAAGGCCAGAGAAAGAAAGATTGGGTTTTGGAACATAGCAGAGATGAGAGGGAAGGACATGGAGTTTTGGAAGGGGTTGGAGAAATGGAATATGTTAGTATTAATAGAGAATTATTAATACATATGGGTGGAAGAAAAGGGGTTCGAAGAAATCAGGGAAAGATTACCAAGGGGAAATGAATGGAAGGTGCAGACAGCAAGAAGGAATAACAAGAAGAGTGGAGAGCGATAGAGGGTATGATAATGGAAATAAGGAGAGAGTTGGTGGAAAGGGGTGATGAAGAGGAAAAAGAGGTGGAAGGAATAATAATAGGGAAAATAAGGTGTGGAAAAAATAGCTGGAGGGTAGTAGAAGTCTACGTAAATGGAGATCTGGTAGAGAAACTGCAGGGTTTAAGGGAATGGAGGAGAAAAAAGGGGTGAGAACAATAGTGGGAGGGGATTTTAATGCGAGAACGGGGACGGAGGAACAGCAAGAAAGGAATTCAAAGGGTAAAAAGATTTTAGGAGAAAAGAGGAAATTGTTAGAGTTCATCAGTGAGAGAGGAAGGACAATTTTGAATGGGGGGATAAAGGCAGATGAAGGAATGGACATATACAGGGTGTCCCATTTTAAATGACAACCTCAAATTTCTCTTGAATAGTGCATTTTAGAGAAAAATGTTTCAAACAAATGTTTTGTGACTTCGAGAGGGACATAAAATGGTATCATTGGTTTGACCCTGGGTGGCGTTGTCAAGGTCAGGGCAAGGTCACTTCGAATTTTTTAAATGGAATCTTCCATTTTTCATTATATATTCTTGTAACTTACCTTGAGAGCTTTTCAAAACACTATAATTAAATCCGTTTTCATTAAGTACTTCTCGAGTTATAAGGCTTACAAGTTACAGTACCGCCGGCATTAGTATTACCCAAGGTGTCCGACCGACGGCTAAAACCTCAAGAATTTTGTTCAGGATCATGACCTGGATAACATTTTTCGAGATCAAAATCATTGGAGGCTGTTCTTCTTATTTTCATTTTTGCACTAAAAATTCATTTGTACGTAAAAATGAAAATAAGAGGTACAACTTCCAATGGTCTTGATCTTGATAAATGTTATCCAGGCCATGATCCTGAACAACATTCAAGAGGTTTTAGCCATCGATCGGATATCTTGGGTAATGTTAGTGCCGACGGTACTGTAACTTGTAAGCCTTATAACTCGAGAAGTACTTAATGAAAACGGATTTAATTATAGTGTTTTGAAAAGCTCTCAAGGTAAGTTACAAGAATATATAATGAAAAATGGAAGGTTCCATTTAAAAAATTCGAAGTGACCTTGCCCTGACCTTGACAACGCCACCCAAGGTCAAACCAATGATACCATTTTATGTCCCCCTCGAAGTCACAAAACATTTGTTTGAAACATTTTTCTCTAAAATGCACTATTCAAGAGAAATTTGAGGTTGTCATTTAAAATGGGACACCCTGTATAGGAGGAAGAGAGTCGGTCATTGATTATATACTGGGTGATGAATCAGTAAGAGAGGAAGTTATACGATTGGAGATATGGAAAAATGTAGAGTCAGATCATCACCCGGTTATGACATGGATTAGGGAAGAAAAGGGTAACAGAAAAAAAAGGAAGAGGATTGGAGGAACGGGGGGAAGAGGGATATAGAATAAGGAAGGTAGAGAAACATTTAGAAGGAAGTTGGACAGAATGGAACGGGAGGGATGGGGAATTCAAGAGGAGATGGAATGGATTGAGAGGAGAATCAGGAAGGCGCTAGAAGAAACAAAAAAGGAATTGGGAGGGAGAAAGGAAAAAAGGAAAGGATGGTGAGATGAGAGGACCCAAGTAACACGATCTATAATATATTTGCTGCAACAGCAAAAATGTGACTGGCACAACCTTCTGCCAGCCTTAATTATAACTATTTGGCAGCCACAGCTATTTTGGCTGCATTGGTAGCTGTACAG